CTGCCCCAGTTTTTGGTAGATGACCCCAAATTTGAAGTGGTTGCTGAGCACGTGCTCGTCGAAGGCGAGGATGAGGCGGGATGCCTGCGGGGTCAGGAGGGGGTGGAGGTTGGGTGGGGGGCACCCCGGGGTGCCCCCCACCTGGGGGTGCTCCCTGCACCCCGTTCACCTTGGGGTAGAGCACAGGGTAGAAGCGATCCACGTTGACATCCTCGCACACCAGCTGCGGGAAGGATGGGTGATGCAATGGGTCACCCAGGGAGGGGAGCACCCATGGGTGCTGCCGGGGGTGGTGCACCCACCTTGGCCATCTGCACCACGTTGGGGAACTCGGCCAGGCAGGAGATGGGCACCACGTCGTGCAGGGTGCGGGCACGGGTGCTGCGGGGTGAGGTGGGGGGTCAGGATGGCTCCCTACCCCCAGCCAGCACCCATGGGTGCCCCCGGCACCCTGCTCACCGCAGCAGCAGGTGGAGGTGCTCTTGCTCGTCGTACTTGAGGGAGAAGACGAGGTGGCCCAGCGCGGGGTCCAGAGAGTAGTAGTTGAAGTGCTCCTGCGGGGAGGGGGCCAAGCACCCATGACAGCCCCAGTGAGTGCTCATGCTGGCAGGCACCCACGCCCATGAGCACCAATATCCATGAGCACCCATACCTGTGGGGCACCCATCCTACAGATACTTGTAGGTTCCCTATGCCCATGGACACCTGTGTCTACAAGCACCCATGCCATAGGGCACCCAGGTCCCTGAGCAGCCATAAACCTGAGCACCCATCCCCATGGGGCACCCATGTCCATGAGCACCCATACGCACAGATACCACCACCTATGGAGCCCGTACGCTCACGGGCTCACATGCAATGAGCCACCCATGCCCATGAGCAGCCATGCCATGGGGCACCCAGGTCCGTGAGCACCCACACCCACAGGGCTCCCATGCTCCCATAGATACCCACACCCATGAGCACCCATATACATAAGCACCCATGCCATGGGGCACCCATGACCATGAGCACCCATGCTTATGAGGTCTCCATGACCACGCCCAGGCCCAGCCACACCCATGGGGAACCCACCCACCCCAAGCACCCATGCCTGGAGCACCCACAGGGCCTCACCTTGCCCAAGAAGTGCTTGCGGTAGATCTTGGCCGTGTGGTTGCCCTCAAGCCTTGCCCGGGTGCTGGGTGCCGGGGTGGGGGGGGACTCGGGTGCCCCGCTCAGCTGGTGGTTGGTGCCCTCGATCCAGTAACCCCCAAACTGCGGCAGGAGGATGAGGGGGAACGGCCCCTCCCGGCCCAGCACCTGCACCCACAACTGAGGTGGGTGCTCTGGCCCCCCCCCCCCCCACCCACCCAGCCGCTCGCCTCCCCCTGCACCCATCTCTGGAGGGGAGTGGGTGGTCTACCTCGTGCACGCTGGGGTAGGGGATGTAGTCCTCCTCTGTCTGCAAGACAATGGGGTGGGTGAAGGCTACGCCAGCACCCATGGGTGCTGGGGTGGGAGAAGGCCACTCAGGCACCCATGGGTGCTGGTTGGGTACCCCCACCCCAGCAATGCCTACCTTGAGTGGTGGGGGGATACCATGGCGCTGCTGGGCCATCCTGCTGCCCTGCGGGAGATGGGGGCTGTGGGTGTCCATTACCCCACCTTGGGATGAGCACCCACGGGTGGGCAGCACCCATGGAGGCTTACCTCGGGGTGGGGTGGCCAAGGGGATGGCGGTGCCGGCTGGAGATATGTCTAGGTGGTGCAGGGGGGCCCAGGGAGGTCCATGGCGCTTCCTGGGGGAGAGGAGAGCTCCCCCACAGCCCCTTGCCGTGACGCTTGACCGCTTGGGCAGCAGCGTTACCCCTGAAGCCTACTGATGGCAGCAAGCCAAGCGCCACCTTGCTGGCTGCCAGGAGCCAGCGGGCCAGGAGCGGCAGGTGTCGGGTTCACTACATGGGGGTGCCCGGCTACTGAGGTCGTCCCCCCAACTCATCGCACCCC